GTAGTTGATATTATAGGAGTCTGGTTCTTCAGATAGGGTGAGAGTAGGTATGATGTTGGTTAAGATTTAGTAGTTCCGGTGAAGGGGTGTGACAAATAAGAAGTGTGACAAATAAGAAAGATGTGACAAATAAGAGAATGTGACAAGTAGAGGGTGTGACAACTAAAGTATAACCCGGTGTCACATTAAGCAGATCGGCAGGATCAACAGAAAGTGAAATTTGTGTAAATTTACTAAAACCAAAAAAGGTAAGTTTGGTTTTTGTATAAAAATAGATGTAATAAAGGGCTAATTTGTGTAAATTAATTAATAATATTGATTAGTAATAGGGATCTGCAGTTTTGGGCATCCTAGAGGGGCAGAATCCCCCCAAAAAGAGAAAAATTTTAGATAAATTTTAAAGTATAGTTTTTGTAGTGGAGTTGAAAGTAGTTTAGCTATAAGATTTGTAATTTCAATCCGTTTAAGAAGTATTATATATCAAAATGAAGCTCTTGTTGAGCTTAATCTTTTTCTATTAAGGAACAATATAGGTTTACTTAATAAAATTTTAAGAAAACGAAGAAAGAGTCAAATTTTAGAAATACTTTATAGCTCTAAAGCAAAGTGCTTTGGAGCTATAAGACTAGGCTGCCTATAAGTAAAATCAAATGTAAAATAACTTTACTTAGACAGCCAAAAGTGGTTTACTTAATAATTTTTTTTGTAAATAGCAAATGGTTTCAAGAAAGATTTGGTACAAGTGATCATCGGGAAGAGTTAGTGATTTGCGTCCTTAAATTCTCACAAATATTTTTTAAATAACTTGATATTAATTATATATTAGCAAATTAATATAAACTATAACAAATTATCTTTGCTTTCATTTATTAACTATAAATTTTGTTTAAAATATTATTCAACTCTAATAAAGTTAATAATATAACTTATATTTTATTAATACTTTTGCTATTATCTTTACACAATTTCTTGGCAAAACTTCTTCTAATATTATTAATTATTATATCGATTATATTAAATTTCTTTACTCTACAACTATCAAGTATTTAATTTATATTTTAACTCTATCTTCTATTTTTATAAAAAGTCCTATTATCTTGCAAATCTTTGAACCAGATAAATTAGATAATATACTAAAATAAATATCTATTGCCAATTTTATACAAACGTATTTAAATTTTATAATAATAAATCTATTATTAATATTAGTATAAATTAATATATAATAGGAATTAGCTAAATACAACTTGACAAAAACAATCTTATTATATACAAATTTATAATTAAAATTTGTTTTTAGCTATTCTTATACAAAGCTAAACTATTTTTATACTATCTGCAATCTCTACAACTTGTAATTCTTATATCAATATATTTACTAACTTTTAGTTTATTATTTCAAAATTCTTTAAATTTTAACAAATTTTTTAAATTTAATATATAGTCCTTATAGTATATTTTGCCTAATATCATTTAAGCATATAATATACAATTTAATCTCTATAAAATCTAAGCTTATTTAAATAATTTATATTATATAAAATTTAAAATTATGTATACATATGATTTTTTTATATATATTTTAATGTTAAGAAGTCACCATAATGCAAGTAGATTAATCATGTCACCAAAAATTGCTGGTGACGTGAACTGCAAACCACTCTAACTATATTTCTGAATTTGGGCTATTAGTTTTATACTTATAAAATTCGGATTCAAAAATAATTTTTAAAAAATTCGTAAGGACTTTTTAGATTCCGAATAATAAGTATAAAATTAATAGCCTGAATATAGTCAGAATGACTGGTAGATCACATCACTGACAATTTTTTGACATGACTAATCTAACTCCATAATGCGAGCCGAAATTTTGAATAGTGTAACTATTGTATGGGAGAGCTTCCATCAATCATGCCGAGTTTAACACCGATGGTTTACGTAAGAGAATATGCAGGAGTTTGATGAAAATTAAGGGAACTCGTATTTTTTTTCATGGTTATTAGGCATTTATTATAGAAAAGAATGGATTACCTATGTATTCTTTATTTAAGGAAGTTTTCAGAGAGCATACATTTGATACATTAGATAGAGAACTAGATGGTGAACTAAGGGCGAGAGCACCCTTTATATACATTCCATTTCTTATGATGTCTATGCTAAGATTATAATATCTACACTACATATTTGGACTTACATATGCTTTCCCACAGGCAACTTATTCTATCAAGTTTATGCAAGCGTGTATACGCTCAAAATATCGCATAAACGCGACTAGGGGTTAAACCACTAAGAATAAACAAGAATGCCTAATACTATTAAGGTAAGATTAACATGGCTATGGCGATACAATTATGGAAGGTATGTGACAACTTAATGAATTAGACAAATACGGAAGTGAGAGACACGGGGAAAATTAGCCGTTACAGATTCCAAAATATTCCAAATTCCGGAAACTCCCATGCGCATGAAATTTGAAAAAATTGGAATTTGCACATCACTAGCCTTGAGTAACATGAGTGCCGGTCAAAATCCCGACAAGCACAATCCCAACAGGTAATAATCCCGACAAAAAAATCCTGACAATCAAAAATTCCGACAGTCAGAATTTTTCAAGTTGAAAAAAAATCCTGAATATGGGGTATGCTTAAGTCGAAGTAGCCTTTTATAATTTAATTAACTTTAGGGTTAGGTGACTTTAGATAAGAGTTATGCTAGGGTTAGCTTATTTTTCATCAGAATTTTAATTGTCGGAATTTGGCTGTCGGGATTTTTATTGTCGGGATTTTATTGTCGGGATTATGACTTGTCGGGATTTCGCTTGTCAGTATTTTAAAGTAACATACATATAATTTAGCCACTAAGAATACGTACGTACGTATGTACGTAATAATGCCTAATACTATAAAGGTAGGATTAACATGGATTTACTTATTTGTGCCGGTAATACACCCAAAAAGGGGGTCGGTTAAAGCGGAGTTAAATTTAGTTAGGGTTTGGGTTGCGTTTTTGATGCAGTTAGAAGAAGTTTTATATATAGATATCAAGAATGTAATTTATGCAGTATGTAGATCATATATTGAATTAACTCCGCTTTAACCGACCCCCCAAAAAGGAAATTTAATTTTGTAAATAAACGAAGTGCGTAAAAATACAAATTTAGGGTTAAGACGTTAACATTAGAAGCTATATCCATAGACTATTGTGCATTATGTGTAAAATTTCGTCCCCATCTTTAATTACACTCTTTTTGATATTTCGCTTTTTTCGTCTTTCGCACGTGTTCGGGATTCATGCCGGGCAGATACGGAATGATCAAAATTTGATCTCACTGATTGGATATTTCCTTTTTAGGAGGATGTATTACCGGCACAATGCTATGACGATACAATTATGTGACAACTTAATAAATTAGACAAGTATGGAAGTGAGAGACACGGGGAAAAATTATTCGTTACAATAGCTAAAATAGCAGCGTTAGTGCGAAATTAAATTAACAGAACTTTTAATACGGTATCAAAAATAGTAAAGTATAATGATCAAAAACACCATATATTGCATATATGGAAACAACAACTTATTCATGAAACATAGGAAATTACGACCAAGACGCATTTGGATGTTTTAATGATCGAGCAACACTGAATAAAAGATCTAAATAATGTAGTATTATGCCTAGTTTGTTTGTATACGAATGCCACCAAGGAAAGCCCCTTAAACCTGTCTTTCAGTTTACGTCTTACCATCTTTAGTCTCTAATAGAGTTGCTGGTGAAACTGGTGAAACTTGGTGAAACTGGTGACTATCTAAAATCTGATTGGCTATTGAATGCGATAGCCAATCAGATTTTAGATAGTCACCAGTTTCACCAGTATGATTTAGTTTCACCTGCAGCTCTAGTCTCTAACCATTCCTATCGATAATACGATAAATTTTCCCCGAAAATACTGGCTGAATCAATTAATTGGTTATAAGATTATAGAAGTCCCTCTAGATATATTATCTATTTAATGTTAGAGAAATATTAAAAAAGTACGTACTTGATTGTGTCCAAAAATATAAACGAAAAAAGGATATAGTGAAAGAATTACTAAATAACGTAATTGTAGGTATTGAATATAATGGTTAACTGATATAAACAAAGTAAAAAGTGTTTTAGGTATTACTAGATAAGATTAGCGCTAATTAAAGGATTTGAAACTTAATAGAATTACGTACGTAGGCATGTTTAATAAAAATGAATTACTAGATCTTTTTTTGGCTAGTTTCATATAGCTTATAAATTAGCAACCACTCGGTTTATTTAAGATGTTAGAAGATATAGAAAAAAAGATCAATATAATTCTGTTCTGTTTCAAATATAAGATAACGCTTTGTGAAGTCAACTATATCATCCATAGAAATGATGTTACTTTTGTATTAAATCAATTTTTGACCTCCAATAATTTAGAATTACAGCATACATTCGATTGATTGTTTTTCAAACAATTACGTCTTTTAACAGAGATTATCAAACAAAATTTAACACATTATATTAATCTGAATGGTTAATCCTAATTATGGTAGAAGATAAAACTAAAATTTCGAATTCGCTAGTGGTCCTTTACGTAAATTACTGCAATTACTGGTGATTAAAATGAGAAATCAATTTAATTAGTTTTAATGGTTTAACATGAATGGTTAATTTTCAATTTCGTTTAAGTTAGAGATCCTTAAAAAGGTCTTTAGGTAGATTAAAAAAAAAATATATAAATATGCACCATTTCTTTGCAACTTCAGTCTACAAATCACTATCCTTTTTTATATATTTCTTGAGCCGTGCTCTTTATTTTTGAGTTATCTTCTCTCGTCCATTCTTCTTTGAGCTGTGCTCTTTTCTTTTGATTCATTCTTTGAGCTGTGCTCTTTTCTTTTGATTCATTCTTTTTGCTGTCTTCATATTTGAGCTAGTCTCAATACCAACTCTATTTTACCACTCTTTTTCTTTTTAAACAATAATCGCAATGAAGTTGTCAATGAAATTATCTATCCTCATTTTGGTTGCATTGACTTTCACATTAACCGTTAATAGCTCGCCAATTATTGAAAGAAGGCGATTCGGTCGGGAGCATACTCCTGAAGCTGATTCTGTTTATGATTGTATGAAAGCACAAGTCCTAGGTGCTGGAATTGAACTTGAAGCCGCTGCTGGTGCTTTAGTGAATGCATCTGTATTTGCTCTTTTAGTCAAAGCTGGCGCATGTGATCAGCAAAATGCTGCTGATCAATGCCTCGATCTTGCTGATAGAGTTGATGCTAAATTTGAATCTAATAAAGAAGGTAAAGCTAGAAAAAAGGCTCTTACAAAGTGCTGCGTAACATATCGACAACTTGAACGTAACACTAATGGTGATGGTGTAGCATCTGCAAACTGCACTGAGTATGTTATAAATTTTTGTGCGCGCATATAATATATATTTGAATATTTTATTCATTTGTTTCATTTGTTCATTAAAATAATTATATAGAGCACCAAGACACAAAATACTTGAAGGATTAGCACAAGCTCAAGATCCAACTGGATTAAAAACAACTGCTGGATTCTCAGGAGAATCGCCAACCGATACGCCGACTACATCGGCCACCCCAACAAAAAAACCTAAGAAAAATCCTAAGAAAAAAAATCCGAAGACTGAGCCGACTCCATCAACCACCCCAACAGCAAAACCTAAAGATTCTTTGAATAGCGTGTCCACATCTATGCCAACAACGACAGGCGCAGCTTAACAAACGGCGAACCATTTGTTTATTTATCTTTTCAAACTTTAAGTTTTTTCAAAAAGAATTATATTATTATAATAATCTAGATTAATATTGCTTTGGTTAGTTTAATTTAGATTAATTTGGGTTTGGTGGTTTTTTCGGTCTGATGATTGGGATTTTTTTTATTGTCTTTTTTTAAACATAGGAATGAATTTTCTATACTGTATTAGAATACAAATATATTTGGGATCTATAATAAAATACATTTGGATATATTTGGGATTTGTGCTTTTATAATGCTGTATAATTATCATTTTATTAGATATTTATTTATTTATTTTGTCTTGTTCTGATTATAATGATAATAATAAGAGTTATCGAATAGATTAGAATCGTTTAAATGTGTTAAATGTTTAATTTAGCATGCATTAAAATAATTTTAGTTCATGGCCAACAATATTCGGCAGAATCAATGGAACAAATTTTAATGGTTAAACGGTTCAACTTTTTACTGCAGATTTCAGTTAATTAATCCAGCTTATTTCTAAGATAATGATTACTTTCTTAATCTTCATCTTGTTTGATCATCAGAGCTGCTCTAAACAATTATTTAAGTTCATATGGAGGAATGGGTGATGAATATTGTTAGATGCATTTATATTTTTCAAGTTTAAAAAGTTTAAAAGAAAATGTATTAAATAATCTCAAAATTTTTCCAAAAAACATGCCAAACGATATATTTTAACATATTTTCTTATATAGTTTAAATGGCTAGAATAAGAGGCAAAAGTCGATTCTAAAAATCGTAATCGATAATAAATCTTTAAATTCGATTTTAAAACGATGGATAAATCTCAAATACATATTTGACTCATTTTATGTCCTAAAGGTCAATTTCAGCTGTCCTTCAATTAGGGCACGATCCAACCACTTTTTATAGCTGTTTGCAAAAGGTGTGGCCTCACGATTTTCATGATAAAAATATCGGGAGAATTTTAGGGATCCGAATTATTTCACCGAAAATCACTTCACTGACTACTTAGTTCACCATTAATTTACAGACAAGCCTATTTTTACCTATAATTAATTCACAGGCAAGTTCATTTCACCGACAGTTTATTTCACCGACAGCTTATTTCACCGACAAGTTTTTTATAAATTGCACTAACCTTAACTCTAATTCTGAACTTGACCCTAACGACAATGACCAACATTACTTTGTCCGTGAAATGAGCTGTCGGTGAAACAAGCTGTCTACGAAATGAACTTGTCTGTGAAATAATTGTCATTAAAATAAGCTTGTCGGTGAAGTGAAATTAACTGAACCACAAAATGGATTAGTCGTTCATGAAATATGGCCATTAAACGATGCCAAAGATTAAAATTAAAGTTGAAATATGCAATTATTTTGTCAAAATATTTCATGAACGGCTGATCCGTTTTCAATGATTTGTGTTTTAAATGAATGCTAAGAACATTAGCATTCGTTTTAAGTCCAAAATTCTCAAAAAACGAATCACTGATTGATCATCCACTAATCTTTCGTGTAAGGCTAATCCCTGTTTGATGATTTTGAAAAAATGAATCATACAATTTTAGCATTCGTTTAAACCAAGTTTAAGAATAATTTGGCAATTCAGAAAATACGGAAAAATTTTGTTTCATATTATTTTTCCGGATCCTTTTTATGGTCACCATATTTCTCCCATTTTCGACGATATAAGGAAATACGGAAAAAATTTGTTGCATATCGATATTATTTTTCCGGATCATTTTTTTTTTATATAGTGAGGCCTGGCCTCGGTCTTTATTGAATAATTATGTGTTACATTGTTTAAATAAATTACATGAATTATTACAGGGACCTACAGCTAGGACTAATTTATCCTCGGCCCA